TAACACCTCCCCAGCTGTAAAAACCAAAAATGACATTAAACAGTGACCCCAAGGAAAGTTTGATAAACTTTCATGGTGTTTTACTATAGACTCTTGTATTTTTTTCTATGTTTTATTAAACTCTTCCATCTGAGGACACATGTACATCATTAAGATGAAAGATTTTACTGTCATTCTTTTGGAAGAATGACATTGCCGTACACTGTCCAACCATTGGCTTGTCATATGACTTTGTGCAAGTCCTTTAAACTATCTGGACTTTAAATTCTTTATTTGTTTGCAGCAAAAAAAAAGTGACTATAAGATTCCTGAAACCATACTGAACGCAGAAGTTAACAGAAGACTTCTTTCTCCAGGTGTCCTTCCAACCCCAGAGTGATGACTTTCCATGATGAGGGAGTTGCTTCCAGATGAGGTGACTTAATACGGGTTTTGAAAGTTCTAGTTATCCTAGTGCTCTATCATATATTGAGATAACGTGTGTCTACACATCACTTTAAATCATGACTTCTGAAAACAGACTCTAAGCTGCTACTTCCATGCTTAAGTGTGGTCTCCTTGTGTTCTGTTCCCTCTGTGCCTGTCACAACAGTCTAACCCTTTACCAAGAAGCAAACAAAACAAAACAAAAACTTGCCCCTTGATTACTGCAGTGCTTTCTGAACAGGTTCCATTGACTTGATTCTTTCCACCTCCCAACTTATTTTCCACCCACATGTCTAATTCATCTTTTATTAAAATACATTTTTACTGATTTCAGAGAGGAAGGGAGAGGGAGAGAGAGAAACATCAATGATGACAGAGAATCATTGATCATCTGCCTCTTGTACATCCCACACCAGAGATCAAGCCTGCAACCCAGGCATGTGCCTTGACCAGGAATCACACCATGGCTTCCTGGTTCATAGGTCTGTACTCAACCACTGAGTCACACCAGGGGGGCAAATTCATCTTTTTAATGATATAATTTTCATCCCCTGCTAAAATCGTCCTAAAGCCCTTTCTCACTCTTCAGAGAGCAGCTCACACTCTCAATTAGAATAATAAGAAATCTGAGACAGACTTGTAGGACTTCAGCGGGCCATTTTCAGCTCTCTGGCCCACCTCATAGGGTCAATTTCCTCCCTTCTCATTGCCCTCTTGCTTAGCATCTGTACCCTTCTCTTTGTCTTTGTCATTCTGAGCACTCTACACGGACAACTCTATTCTGATGCTCAGTCTATTCTTACAAAATTGTGCTAAGTGGAAGTCTAACCACATCCACTTCATAAATATTCCCTATACTATAGTCCCTAACATCTATTCTGATTTATCATTTTTCTCCAGCAACCATATAACCTTGATGCCTCCATTTTGTGCATGCACAATTCTTGTCTTTCACATTTTCTTTTCCCTCCCTTCCTCCTTTCATTCCTTTACTCAAAACCAGTTAGGCAGTAATTGCAGAATCAACGCTGCCTGATTTAAAATCACCATACCGTTCAAATGCCTGGACCTGATGGAAGTCAGAGAGAGGAACAGCATTTGCTTTTCTTGAATACGGGAAGTGGAAAATTATAACTTGAAGACAGTTGTTATTTTTAAGGCCCCTTCGAGAATTCTAGCTGTTCATTCATGTGTACAAACTTATATAGCTGTTGCTTTATCAACATAAACATATGTTGAAAAATGGGTTGCTTTGTTTATTTATATGCACATTTGTTTGTATGAGGGCTTTTGGAAGAATGACATTATACTGTTCAACCATTGGCTCATCATATGACCTTGTACAAGTTCTGTAAACTATCTGGACTTTAAATTCTTTATTTGCTTGGAGCAATAAAGTGACTATAAGATTGCTGAAACCACATTAATTAAGCTGGACAGCTCTACTTTTTATTGGTCTCACAAAATAACTGTTTAGCAAGCAGTGGTGACCTTCTATCCATCCTCCCTCTTCTCCCTTCAAAAGAGAACTCTAGATTTGTTCAAGCATCTGTCCGTTACTTCTGTGACTTGGGGGTCATGACCCAGGACCAGCTCAGCAGTTAAAATTGACTATTCTAAATAATGACCATGCTCTGATTCTCTTTATGGATCCATTAATGGTCATGTGACCCTGTGAGCATTTGCTGAGGATTTCTGGGTAAGACTAAGTCACTCCTGATATAAAACCATAGAAAAAATAATAGTCCCTTTTGCCCCAGATATCTCATATCTAGACGAGGAACTTGGATCATCTGTGGCTTTCTTGGGACAGTGAAGGGAAGTGACATAAGGGAAAATTCACACATTGTTGATGGTAGAAAAGAGCAAAGGAATAAAGTTGACATAACTGAGCTGCTGAGTCAACTTCATGAAATTTCACTGTGGTTGGTGCTGTTAATTCTCCTGATCACCCCTCCCCACCAGTATCTCCTCTTCCCTCTTCCTTTTAGTAGTAACATTTACTTCAATTTCATCAAGTACTTTCACATCTAGGTATGACCTTGAGAAAGAACCCTTGAAAAACACAGTATGAACAGTCAACTGACCTATTTCCAACTCTCATGTTACCTCTTTAAAAGGAAATTACCTGTTTTGTACTTTCTGTTGCCCTCACCAATGGGCTAGAACATATATGTCTGTCCAATAAGCCAGAAACGAACAGAAGAATGATAATAACATTATATCAAATGCTGCAAGACAGAAAAAACTTTTGTGGATGCCTTTATAGAGCAAAGTCATATACCTGCTTTGATTGGCCCACCTACATATGGTCCATCTATGTCTTGAGAAACAGATCTCTGACCTTGTTTAACCATTGTATTATGGGGTCTCACTTTTACAACAGCTTAACTTATATCCACCTAATATACTATGCTTCAACAAAACTCTTTGCTTTGTGGGGTAATATATTCCTTTTTCATTGAAGTCCATTTGAATACTGAACTGTTTCTAGCTGCCAAAGTCTTTTTAATTGGTACAACCAAAGTTCACATCTGTGGCCTGACTGTGAACAAATGCAAAATACAGCCTTTACAAGACAACTATTGGAAATTAATCTCTAGAGGGCATTTCAAGGTGAACTTAATGCAAATACATTCAGGAATTGAGAGTTGTTTTTTTAAAAAATGCATTGGGTTCACATTGAGATTTTCTAACTGCTTGCATGCCTTCATGAATAATGGAAATAAGTGTGAGTATAAATGTAGTAGAAAAATCTAAGAAGAATTTAGAAAAACTTGAACAGCTCTTCAAAGGGGTAAGTACTGTCGGGAAGGCATTATGATTTAGAATTCAAGATCCAGGAAGATTACAGGAGTCCTTTGATTCACTGTTGAGACAGCCCAATGAGACACATGAAATAACCAAATTAAATTGTCGAGATAAGGGCTCAATGGCTCTGTCAAGTGATGGAGGTGACTATCTATGCGCTGTTACTTGGCCTGATGAGTAGAACAACCTCAGCGACTCCATTTCATCCCCTGGAAAGTAAGACAGCTTCTGTGTTGCTCTCCAGCTGATCATCCAGGGCTCCCTGGCCCACTTTGTGCTGCCCATTTGGCAAATTGAAGAAGTTCAGGGTTGACTGTTCTCCAGAGCAGAGAACTTACTGCTTGTGAAAAGAGAGTCTTTAGCAGTTGGTCAATCTGTCCACATGGCATGTGGTGAGAGAGTTAACTGATGTAATATCTCCACATATGGACACAAAAAATGAACTATATTTAGAATATAAATATGAATGCCTGCTGGTACAGTTAATTATCGCTATAGATTTTATGAACGACAGTACAGAAAAGAAGGAAAGTTCCTGATTTGCGGCTGAACCAATGTTCAGAAACTGAGAAAACAGATAAAATCATGTTGTAGCAAGAAAACACCCACCACTCCTCTACATACACAACGTAATTCTGCTCTAAATGTCCAGAGTCTAACTTGTTTAATTTGATGAGTCATAAAATTCCAGAAAGGAAAGAACATCACCTGGTTTGTGATGTTAGTTCTCTAAATCTTTTGGCAAATGATAATGCAGATAACATTCTCAAACCAAAATACGGATAAAACTGAGCATACCGACTTATTTGAAATTTTGAACATTAAAAATGGTAAACATCAGCCCAGGTGGGTGTGGCTCAGCAGTTGAGCATTGACCCAGGAACCCAGAAGTCATCGGTTTGATTCCCAGTCAGGGCATATGCCAGAGTTGCAGGCTCAATCCCCAGGATGGGGCGTGCAGGAGGCAGCCAATAGATGATTCTCTCTCATCGATGTTTCTATCTCTCTCTCCCTCTCCCTTCTGCTCTAAAATCAATAAAAATGTTTCAAAATACATAAATAAAAATGCTAAACATCAGCGTGTTGAACATGTTCCAGAAATATATGTGCTTTATATGTATTATCTAATGTAACAAGCCCTAACTGTTATTATCCTTTTTTAACACATGATTTCTAAACAGTTTGAGGAAGTTGCCCTGGTATAAATAGTGATCTGGAAATCTAACACAGATTAACTATCTTCAAAGCATTAGCTCCTAACTTGAGCCTACCAGATAATGCAATATTATGCACTCATTAATACATATTGGCAGTAAATCAATTGAGATAACATTACTAAATGAACATTTACCCAGGCTAGCAAAAGAGAAAGAAAAATATATCACTTTATGCTTAACAGCTTCATCATAAAAGCTAATAAAGAAACCCTCCAAGATGCCAAAATATTATGAGTTTTTTCTATTTATTACTCTAATTTCCTAAAATACGCTTATATCAATTTTGATATTCCAAAAAAATAGATCAATGTCAAAAATTATTAATTGTTTGCCAGTAAAAAATTATGAGCCATACAATATGCCTCATCTTGTGGAAGAAGAGTTAATATAGTCGTAAAGAGATAAGGACAAAATTAAGGTAAAATAAAAAATATCAGTTATTTAATAGAACTCATTATTTTGCTTTTGTATTGTTTTTGTAAATAACCTATGAATATCAAGTAAGAGGAAACTTCACAGAATGTGATCATAGGCGAAAATACTTACAAAAATAGTGGTCAGAAAGAGAAGAGTGAGCAGTCAATAAAAACAGCAGCATAGCCAGAGAGGTCATCCTGATCATCCCTCCTGAAATAACCTAAATGTTGGAATAAAAAAAGAAATCATCCTAAGAAATTTATAGATCTGAAAAGATAGTGAGAAAGCAGAAGGAAAGAGATTACAGGTAAGAAAGAATGAAGAAGAAAGTATGTTACAAATATGTGAGTAAGTGTAAGCAACATAAAACAGTAATAACAATCTGGAAACCAGTTAACCAATCAAAGAACAAGAATAATAAATTAGCCCTAGTTGGTTTGGCTCCGTGTTTAGAATGTCGGCCAGTGGATTGAAGGTTCCCAGGTTAGATTCTGGTCAAGGGCATGCGTGGGAGGCAACCAATCAATGCATCTCTCTCACATCAATATTTCCCTCCTCTCTCTCTCTCCCTCTTATTTCCAGTCTCTCTAAAAATAAATGGGAAAATATCCTTGGGTGAGGATTAACAAAAACAACAACAACAAAAGAATAATAAATTAAAATAATATATTTTATATTATAGAAATGATGCTAAAGTTTTCTAACCTTACAATGTTAGCTCGGGGAAGTGGCTCATTCACTTCCCATTTCTGGCATGTTCAGGTGAGGGTTCAATTTACACCCAGTGCCTTTGTTAATATTATTCCCCCAGTTAGTTATATTTCCCTCCTTCCAATCACCAGTAATTAAAGTAATAACTCGAGGATTTATTGAGATGACATCTCCTTCCAAATTGTCCAAAATGCCCTCTTTCCCACTTTCATAATCCAATGTATTAAACTTGATTTTAACCTAGATTGGTCGTTTTATACTGTTTGCAGGGACTTTTAAATTCATGTTAATATGTCTCAAAATGCTTAGTATTTCTCATGGGAGTGAATACATCCATGTACCAGTACAGATGGTTCGATGTGCATTTATAAATAAATCCTTAGTCCAAATATATTTCAATGGCATAAACATGTATCACGGATGCCTGCTAGAGAACATGTTGTTATCTCATCAAATAAATTCACATACATAAAGATTCCATACTTGGAATCTTGGAACCCAGGTGTCCAAAGCTTTTATAAATGTATTCACTGCAAAAAACAAAAAACAACAAAACATGTAGCAGGAAATAATATGGCATTCCAGCTGTGTGTGTGTGTGTGTGTGTGTGTGTGTGTGTGTGTGTGTGTGTGTTTTATATAGGGGTTCTAAAAACAAAGAAATTTTATGGCTTCTAAAATGCAAATCAGGAAATACAGAAGAGATCAAGCCTACCATCCTCTCAGTAAACTTTTTGGAATCACAAACATTAGGTTTGATTTTGCATTTGCTTTCAAGTGAGTGCTCAGGCCAGCTTTTATATAATTCAATGTTCTTATTTATTCCTAATGGGAATTTTTTAAATGTCCATTTTTGTCTGTGTAATATCTTAGTCTTTTTAATTTTTGAATAGAGGCTAAAGAGATTAACACTAAAATCTCAAAACCATAAACAATAGTTCGCATTACAAGTCAAATGTAATTATTCTAAACACTGAATCCCAACTAATGAGGTCATATGAAATAATACAGTAGGTTCTTTCAATCTAATGCTTCAAAAAGACTGTTAATAAGAAAAATACAATAAAAATTAACCAAAGTGAAAGAGTGACTCAAGGATATCCTGCAGAAAAGGTCTGAAATCTGATGAATGGAGAATGACAAAAGAAGGAAGCCTATCAAAGGTAAAAATTATTATGGAAGTTGTTGGCAAAAGAGAAGATGGAAGATCACGACCAAGTCAGTAGAATATAATGCAACTAAGGTTTAAAAAGGCACGTCATGAAAGAATGTTTTCTCTTGATTTCATTGGACATACTTCCTGCCTGGGCCATATTTGGAGAGCAGTCACCAGAGAGAGTTGTTCAGAAGATTCAAATATTAATTGGGTTATTACTTAGCTCAAAAAAATATATATATAACACAGTACACTTAGCACTACAAGATAATGATTCAAGATGATTCTCTTCAGAACAGTTTCCTTTCCAATTAAACCTCTGAATACTTACAATAAGTATTTCATTTGTAAATTGCTACTTTTCAGACATGCCCTATTAAAATATGTCTTGAACCTCTTCCAAATTGCTCAGCATATGTGAAGGCATCAGGAAAAGCTAACCTGTTGAGTCATAGAGGGTCTCTTAATTAATCAATGTTGAAAATAAAGTAGTATTTTATTCTTCATTTTAGTTCCTTTTTCTGCCTGCCTATAATATATAGGACTCAAGGCCCGGTGCATTAATTGTGCATGGCTGGGGTCCGGCTGGCCGAACCGATTGGGGTGGGTGGGCCAATTGGGGCCTGGGCAGGCTGGGGGGAGGGGCACGGGAGGTTGGCCAGCCAGCCCCGCCCCCACCAGGCTGGTTGGCCGGCCACAGTGTGCATCATAGCGACCAGTCATTCGGGTCATTCTGGTTGTTCCAGTTGTTTGGCTTTTATATATATAGATTGTCTGAGAAGCATGAATTGACTGCTATCAAATATGTCCCCGATTAACATTCTCAATTTACAAAACAACATAATGTATGTGTATGTATATGTATGTGTGTGTATGTGTGTATATATATATATATATATATATATATAAATAGCTAATATGCTAAGTGTCTGTTTGGTAGCTATGATGTGCACTGACCACCAGGGGACAGATGCTCAACACAGGAGCTGCCAAGCTGCAGCGACTTGGCAGTGGCAGTTCTAGGGTGATGCATCCTGAAACCGGAGAGGAGGGAGCCCGATTCCACGCGGGGCTGCACAATTCCACCTTCGGCCGTGGGTTATGTTGCTGCTGGGGCACTATTGGCCCCAAATCTGGTTTACTGTACACTAGCTGTTGCATTCCACACTCTGTGCGACAGCAATTTTGCAGAGTGCCCTCTCGCACTCAAGGACCCCTCAGAGGATGTCGGAGAGCCAGTTTTGGCCCGATCCCTGCAGGCCAGGCTGAGGGACCTGCTGGAAGGACCCCACTCGCTCCACAGATGCCCTTCAAGCCATGACACCACCCCCAATGTGCGGCCAACTGGGGAAGGACTGTGGGAGGTTGACTCCAGTGCAGGTCTAGCCCGTCTCGCCCAATCCTGCCCCGCCAGCCACCTTCTAATTAATTTCCTTTCAATGTGCACAAATCCGTGCACTGGGTCACTAGTAATAACAATAATATATTAACAATGATTTAATTATCTTTTAATAGTAATTATCATCATCGTTATTATGTTAAGATCAGATTATTACTGACTGGATTCTAATTCTATCATCTTATTATACCTTCTATAAATTACTTTTTTTTTTTTTTGCCATAAATCTACTGCTGCCTTATTCATGGGTAAATGATGAAAAATTTATGTGTAGTAAGACAATGTTAGAAATTTCTTCATTCAACTCACATAGTGACAACTAAAAGATTACTGGTCAATATATGGGCTCAAAAGACAAATGAATTTGAAATTTCTCCAGGGATGAAAAAAACTAAAACAATTCCTTAATACTTGGATATTAAGAGATCTTTCTCTAAACCAAAACACCACAATAATCTCATATATATTTATAATACATAGACCATGAAATGCTTAAAGGAAAACAAAAGAAATGATTAAGGGAAACAAATATAGTTTGAAATTTTCATAGTCAAAGGGTTATATGTTGACTTTAATGGTTCAGAAAACCTAGGTTCTGCAAATTAATTTTCTTCTTCAAATTTCAGGTATTAGTTTTCCCCTAGAGCTTCTCATGATGTTGCCCACGACACTAGTAAATGGGTAACAGCTAAACGGTAAATATGGCATTAGCTCTTTCTAGAAATTTCCTAGGAACAATTGATGTCCAAACCAAATCTGAAGACTTACTTTGCTGTCTCCTGAAGAATGAGTCTACACAATGGTCTCAAGAGGCAAACAACTCTCATTCATTACGCATTAACTATATAAACTCTACACAAAGATTTTCCTATTGAATTTGTAATTTTTTTTCTTTCTATAACTTTCCTCCCACCCCCTTTTTCCTTCATTCTACAACCAAAGATCTAAGACTAAGAATATGGTGATGAGCAACGGCCACTGCTCTCATGTAACTTGCATTCCTCTGTGAAAAGGGAGAGAGGTATGACAGCAGAAAAAAAAGAAATCAATAAACACAGCGAAAAAGTAACATACAAATCAATACATACATACATGTAGTGTATAAGGGCTGTTAAAGCAACACAACTTGGAAATTTATTAGTAAGCACCTATGTGTATGAAGGAGGTGGTTCTTTAGATAGGATTGCTTAGAAATGTCTTTCTGAGGACACATCATTTGAGAAGCACCATATATTTGGCAAAGGATCAAACCATCTAGAGAAAGAACCTTCCAGGAAGAAGGAACAGCAAATGAGAGGCTTTGAGGTGGGACTAAGCCTGGCCTAAGCCTGGCATGTTAAGGAGAATGCACCATCAGTGTGACAAGATCAATGTGTTGGGAGTAATCGTCAGGAGCCATATTGTATAAATATTGAGGACCATGGGTCAAAGTTTACATTTCACTGCCAGGATGGCATACAAATCTATAATCTTTTAAATCAAATCTACTAAGTTTACTTCTGCATTAACTATAATATTTATTGTAATAATATTCCTAATGATATGTTAAAATTTATAATATTTAGGCATAAATGTTACATCATTTGGTCTTCAAAACAGACCTGGAAATAATATCTAATCTGCATATCGAGAAACAGAGTTTGAAAGACTAGGCAAAATTTAGGAAGGTAGTAAAGCTTAAACCTAGGACAAAATCCTGGGTTTTTAGAAGCCTTACATCCTTTCCACTACACAAAGCTGATATTTTACTTTGCATTCCAGATCAACCTTAAAAAAAGAAGAAGAAAATATGTGTTTGGATTTGATTTAAACTCAGGGGACTAAAATATAACATTTTCTCGATTTTACAAATATGAATGTTTATGACATTGATTCAAAACCGATGATCAATGTCTAGAATTTTTTTAT